TTGTTGAGCATTTCTTTCAGTGCTTCTCTGCAATTCAATATTTCTCTGTTGAGAATTCTCTGTTTAGCTCTGTATACCATTTTTTAATTGGTTACTTGATTTGTTGCTTTTTAACTTCTTGAGTTCTTTGTATATACTGGATATTAGTCCTCTGTCAGATATAGGGTTGGTGAAGATCCTTTCCTAGTCTGTAGGCTGTCGTTTTGTTCTGACTACAGTGTCCTTTGCTTTACAGAATCTTTTCAGTTTCATGAGGTCCCATTTATTGCTTGTTGATCTTAGAACCTGTGCTATTGTTTTTCTGTTCAGGAAGTTGTCTCCTGCACCAATGAGTTCAAGGCTCTTTCCCACTCTTTCTTCTAACAGGTTTAGTGTGTGTCTGGTTTTATTTTGAGGACTTGATCCACTTGGACTTTAGTTTTGTGCAGGTAGATAAGTATAAATCTGTTTGCATTTTTATACATGTAGACATCCAGTTAGACCAGCACTATTTGTTGAAGATGCTATCTTTTTTTTCCATTGAATGCTTTTGGCTTCTTTGTGAAAAATAACGTATCTGTAGGTGAATTTCTGGCTCTTCTGTTTGATTTCATCGATCCACCATTCTGTTTCTATATCAGTACCATGAAGTTTTCATTACTGTTGCTCTATAGCACAGCTTGAGATCATGGATGGAGAAACCTTCATGAGATCTGCTGTTTGTACAAGACTGTTTTAGCAATTCTAAGTTTTTCAAAACCTGGAGGGGACAGGAGCACCAAGAGTAAAGCAACAGAACCAAAAAATCTGGGCACCAGGGTCTTCTCTGAGTCTGATACTCCAACCAAGCACCATGCAGATAACCTTAGAGATAACCTAGAACCCCTGCACAAATGTAGGCCATGGCAGCTCAGTCTCCAAATGGGTTCCCTACTAAGGGGAAAAGGGACTGTATCTGACATGAACTTAGTTGCTGGCCCTTTGATCATTTTTCCCTGAGCAGGAAGCCTTACCTGGCCACAGAGGAAGACAATGTTGCCAGTCCTGATGATACCTGATAGACTAGGGTCTGATTGAAGGGGAGGAGGACCTCCCCTAATAGTGGACTTGGAGATGGTTCATAAGAGGAGATGAAGGAAGGAGGGTAGGATTGGGGGCTACAGCTGGGATACAATGTGAATAAATTGTAATAACTAAAAAATAAATCAATAAAAAAGAAATGCGTGAGAACAAGAAATTTGTCTAGTTCATTTAAGTCTATAATTCAACGGATCCAGAGTAGGCAGCATTCACTCATTGGTTAAGTTAGCTATAGTTTCTGTATGCTTTTTACTCACTTATCATAAAATTAGTCTCTTCTCAAAAGCTTTAGTTTAAAGCTTTTTTATTCTATTTTATTTTAAAGCTTTAGTTTCTTCTTGTGACAATTCAGAGTGTGTTTGTACCAATCTTTCAACTATAAATTTGCATACGATTAGAATGAAGTTCATTATTTAAATATGTGTTTATTAGAAAAATACAAATGAGAAAGGAACTAAGAAGAGGAGAGGGTGTACATGCCAAATTAAAATATATAGTCATTATTTTTACTATGTGATTATCTGATTCTACTTTCAAATGACTCTCAATAAATAAATATTTTCATTGAAAATGACTTAGATAATGTTTTTTTCCATTAATGAATGCATTTGAATGTAAAAAAAGTGAAATATAAATGTGCTTCTTTTCAAACCCTCCTTTGGTGATATGCAATCATTTCCTATTGTTCTGGGTACATCATACTTAAGCTATGCCCTATTCACCTGACAAAATCAGGTTTTTAACAGTATGAAGGCTGTCTGTGCAAATCTCTATGCTTAAGGGCTCATTTAAATACTCAATGGCAAGCCTATCAACACAAAATGTCATATGCACAATCACCAGGAGACCCAGTAAGTATGTGTATTCATGCCAACTCTTTTACCAACTCTGAAGAGAGTCTAACACAAACTTTGAAAGAGTAAATTCTACAATAGAGGACTCATTTTCCAGGAACGTATGCTTTTAATTGTTTTCACGGTTTATACTTCAAGACCAAAGATATTCATGCCATGGAATCAAAGATAAAGGAGAGAAATATGATTTCTGTAATCCAAGATTCCAACTATGACATGATTGGGAAAAAATCCATCTAAGTGACACGGAAAACAAAGTAAGCAATGCTGAAGAGGTAAACTTTGTATTCAAATGTATGTCATGGACAATGCCAGTCTCTAAGTTGATTCTTATGACTAAGATTAATATCAGTTCTGAGTACTTACCAATGAAGAAAGAACTCTGTGTCAACAGAACGATAGGTAATTATGCTGAGGTCTTCCTCTTGGCTATGTTGCAGCAGAGTTTATCTGATCACTGACCTATTATGCTATGAATATAGAAGGGTTTCTACAAGTGTAATTATGAGCATTAGTGTATGAATGGAAGATGGCTCCATTGACTCTTTACTCCCCTTCCTTTCTTATTTTTTCCTTCCTTCCTTCCTTCCTTCCTTCCTTCCTTCCTTCCTTCCTTCCTTCCTTCCTTCCTTTCTTCTTTTCCCTTCTTTATCCTTCTTTGATTCCTTCACTTGATAAACATTTGAACATTCTATGTTGTTATATATGGAAAATAGAACAGCCCAAATGAATCAATCAGTGATTTTGTGGTTAGAAAATGAATGAACAAACTAATAGGTAAAACTATATTTTGCAGTAAACATTTTAAACCAAAGGATCAGGGTTTACAATAAAAGGTCTAACAATTGGATGAGTTTACGTCTAGGTGGCATTCTAAATGGAAACATGAAAAGTAAAAAACAGAAAAAAGAAAAAAAAAAAGTAAAAAGAGCCTAGACATAAACAACTCAGTAAAAACATTCCTGTGACATGAACAAAAAGGCCAGAAGCAGAAAGCTGCATTGTGTATGAGAACTGGAAGATAATCATGATCATAAAAGAATATATCATGGAAAACCCTGATATTAAAAAAAAAATATAAAGAAATGAAGGAGAAAAATATCATGGCTAGCTGATATATGTGCAGTATCTACAAATAACTACTGAAGCATGATTCTAGGGAGTATTTCTTCAAATATATTTTTCACGTTTTAAAAATTTATGTTTTTATGAATTACAGTTTATGCACTTTGTATCCCAGCTATAGCAGCCTCCCTCATCCCCTCCCAAACCCTCTCTCCTTCCCTTATCTCCTCCCATGTCCCTGCCCAAATCCACTGATGAGGAGGTCCTCCTCCTCTTTCCTCTGATCCTGGCCTAACAGGTCTCATCAGGACTGGCTGCATTGTCTTCCTTGTGACCTGGTAAAGCCGCTCTCCCCCCACCAGGGGGCAGTGATCAAAGAGCCAACCACTGAGTTCAGTCAGAGACAGTTCCTGTTCCCATTACTAGGCAACCAACTTTCGAGAATGAGCTGTCATGGGCTACATCTGTGCAAGGGTTTTAGGAGTTCTAGGTTATCTCAATGCATGGTCCTTAGATGGAGTATCAGCCTCAGAAAAGACCTCTGTGCCAAGAATTTTTTTTATTCTCTTGCTCTGCTTGTGGCCCTCTTGTCCCTTCCAGGTCTTCCTAGCTCCCCATTATTTCATAACATTCCCTGTGCACTACCCAAAGTTTGGCTATGAGTCTCAGCATCTCCTTTGATACCTTACTGGATAAAGTCTTTCAGTGGTCTTCTGTGGTAGGCTCCTGTTCTGTTGCCTGTTTTCTCTCTCTTTAGATGTCCATCCCCTTTGCCTTTCTGCATGAGGATTGATCATCTTACCCAGGGTCCTCCTCCTTGCTTAGCTTCTTTAGATGTACAGATTTTAGTATATGTATCCTATATTATATGTCTAATATCCACTTATAAGTGAGTATATACCATGTGTGTTTTTCTGCTTCTGAGGGATACCTCACTCAGGATGATCTTTTCCCACCATTTGCCTGCAAATTTTATGATTTCCTTGTTTTTAATTGCTGAGTAGTATTTCACTGTGTAAATGAACCGCAATTTCTGTATCCATTTTTAAGTTGAGGGACATCTGGGTTGTTTTTAGATTCTCACTATTATGAATAAAACTGCTACAAACATCGTTGAGTAAATGTCCTTGTTGTATACTTCAGCATGTTCGAATATATGCCTAGGAGTGCTATAGCTGAATATTGAGGAGCACTATTCCTAATTGTCTGAGAAAATGCCATTCTGAATTAAAAAGTGATTAATTCCATCTACCAAAATTAAATCAAGATCAGGTAAATATATTAAATAGCCCTTTATTACCCAAGGAAATAGAAGCAGTCATCAAAAGTCTCCCTTCCAAAAAAAGCCCAGGGCCAGGTGGGTTCATCTCAGAATTCTACCAGACCCTCAAAGAAAAGCTAACTCCAATTCTTTTCAAACTATTCCACAAAATAGAACCAGAAGGAACATTGCCAAACTCATTCTATGAAGCCACAGTCACCTTGATACCTAAACCACACAAAGACCCAAGAAAAAAGAGAACTTCAGACCTATCTCTCTTATGAACATTGACACAAAAATACTCAATAAAATACTTTCAAAACGTATCCAACAATGCATAAAAGATATCATTTACTATGACCTTCATCCCAGGCATGCAAGGGTGGTTTAATATTCAGAAATCCATCAATGTTATCCTCCATATAAACAAATTGAAGGAGAAAAATCCACATCATAATCTTCCCATATCTTTATGTTAAACACTTGAAGGATTCTGAGGGGTTGAGAGCCTTATAGGAAACACTATAATACAATTTTCTGTTAACATGCATGATATTTGAACCTAAAGCGGGGCCTTATAGACTCTACTAACAACATGAGTCCACTCATAACCAGAGAAAATGAACCACATTGTGAACTTTAAGATTTAGACTAAACTCCAAGTCATCCCAGTTCAACTTTAGCGGCAATTATTTATGGGTACAATTGTTAGACAGTCAAACACAAAGACATGACTAGAGAATATGAACAGAGACACTTACAATTAGTGTTAAATGTATAGTGTGTAGACCTCTTCCATCTACTTCCTGCTGATTAGGGTTGATGAGTCTTTAGGGGATTACCAAACTCAGTTGTCAGGATACCAGCAGTCCAGTCCAGAGGCCAACATCAAGCAGCAACACAATTCAGAAGCTCAGGACAAGTCAGAAAAAGCTGCAATACTCAGTTGGAATGCCCCAAGAAGTTCTCTGGAATGTTTCTCTCTGCAAAGTCAAATGTTGAAGTACAAAGATCAGGGCAGCAATGTCGATCCAAACAGCCATTCCTCACCATGAGTGGGCCTCTATATGTCTCCTCTCCTCAAAGTCTACCCATGGATGTTCCCAGCTGGCCAAAATCATGCCCCTTGAATGAAAGAGCTCACAGCAAAACATCATGTCACCCCTCACAAGTCAACCTACATCAAAACATCAAGTGTCCAGCTTGCAGCAAAACATCACATGAGAAAACTAAGCCTTCAAAGAAACCAGAGACTTCCACTTCAAAACCCTACTTTTATTATCTGTGAAAGGAGTCTAGGAACAAAGAATCTACTTGCTAAAGGTTTTTTGATTTCTTAGTGTGTAATTGACCCACCTCATAATTCAGAAGTGAGCAACATGAAGAATCTATTTCAGGACCTGTACAATGCTAATGTGGCCCCTCAGGTTAATTATATTTGTCAAGGATCATTTATCAAATGCTGTTCCTTTACTAATATTAGTGTGTCTGGTTGGTAATTTGGCATATGTTATCCAGTTTCTACTTTGTCACTGACTTCTTTGGAAATGGATTTGCAAGTTTTTGAATAGCAGAATGACAACAGAAAGTAAGCGTGTGTTATAATGTTCAAAATGCTAGAAGAAATGATCTTGTATTTGTTACCATAAGGGAATGGTACTTGAAGAAATAATTATGCTTAACCCTATTTAAACATTACATGATATGCATATACTCTAATACTCAGTATATCTTAAGTTACTTTTTTAACAAGAGCAACTTTTGTGACTTTATGGTTGTAAATCGAGGTAGGGGGTGTGTTCATGCTGGTAATCCTAGCAGTGAATTGACAGGAGGATAGACACAGGTATCACAACTGCGTAAATTCATAAAATGAGCTCAAGACCAGCCAAAGTGAATAAATACTTGTATCAGAAACTCAAAAAGAAAAAAAAAACTCTAAAAATAAAATAAAACCTAACAATATTATTATACACAATATAATACTTGAAATGAGAAAGTTTTAGTCTTCCTGACTTGGAAGATATTTAGATATTTATTCAGATGTTTTCAAGATTTCCAGATATTCTCATGAAGATGAATTGTAGTAACAGAGCCAGCAACATATAATGGACATAGTCTTTCTTTTTTCTTTTTTGTTACTTCCTTCCTTCTCCCTCAGTTCTACACACACCAGGCACCAAAGACACTGAAGATGATATCTATGTTTATATATAAATATATCTCCATCTATATCTATAATCATTATATCTATGTCCATTCCATTTATATATATATAATACAATATATATAATACAACATATAATATATGTATACATAAAATAATTATATGTAAATACAAGATTATATAATATAATTATATATATACACACGTATATATGTAAAATGTGGGCCATGTATGGAAAGCTTATCTACAACATGCTTAGAGGATCAAAATATACCTGCCATCTCAAGAGGCTTTTAGTTCTCACAAATTGGAGTATGTTTCCAATTGGAGTCCATCAGGACAAAGACTCACAACACCACGCAGGCTCTTTCAGGGGTCCTCATGTGAGAAGCTCCCTTCTGCAGTGGTGTTGAACTACACATGGAGATGTAGGTAATGCTTCAGTAGAGAACTAATTAAGAAAAACGAGGGAACAGAAATGTACGAAGTAACTCTTCCAATCAGTAGGTTTATTTGTTGTCTTTTCTTCAGAAGGCATAGATTCACTTTCCCTTGAGCCAGTTTCTATTTTCTCTCCTTTTGTAAAGTATCAACTTGAAATAGTTTGTTAATGGATTAGTTTATGAGCTCATTATATTTTCAGTATTCAGAACTTCCTTTAAAATGGCTGCATGTAGTTAAATGAGTAAACTCTGACTTCTATTTTTCCTTTTATATATTTTCATTCTCTTTGTTCTTTAAATACATCAGATGAAATGCAATGTGTTCAATTATCTCTGCTGTATGAACTTGGTCTTTATTTTATTTAATTGTTTAGCTTGGTATTTGCCTTTTTAAAAATAAAATTTATCATGACAGTAATAATCTATGTTCACATATACACCTGTTACTAAAAAAAATCAAAAATCTTTATGATATCATGATTAGTCAAGAAGGTAAAAATTCTGCATGAAATGAATTATACAAATTAATTGCATACTGTATATAGAATATTTTGATTTAACTAGAAAACTTTGAGAATATTTTGATGCCAGGTGCACTTGACATCCAAAAGTATGCCAGATCACGGAGAAGTTGAGGTTGATCAGTGCTCACTTTCCTCCAGAGGCCAGACACTAAAATGCTCAGCATCATTTATAATTGCTTCTGGCAGGAGATAAAAAACAGTCAACCATATAAGATGGCAACAGATGGATGTCTGTTTCACATCTTAAAACTAACACAGCAAGATAATCACACTTAAAAGTCAGGGATTGTTTTAGGAGGATTTTCTAAAATCCTTGATTTGGTGAAGACATGAACCAAAACTAAGTTCAGAAGACACAGGTGTATAGTGAAATAGCCCTTCATTCCATGTCCAAGAAAACGAATGCTTCTGACTCAAATATATTCCATATCATGCCAAAGAAAAAAAAAGAAATGCTTTATATTTAAGTGTATTCATTTGCTAATATTTCAATCAGATAATCACATACCATCACTAACTCTTAACTGTATTTGCTTTAAAATAATTTATATTTTAATAATTTCCTAAAATATTCTCATAATAATAAAATATAAAATGCACAATATCTCTTAATATTATGTCATTATTTAAATAAGCATAAGGAGAAATTATCTTGATGGCATAAGCTTGGTCATTAAATATACATTATGATGCTGTCAGTAAAGGAATAGAAGTGGTATTAAAACTATAAATGAGGAAATGATGACGGTTGTCATTGTTTTTAAAAAAAAAGGAAGAGAGGAATGAAAAATAAGGTCATAATTTCAGCAAGTAAAAATTCATAAAACCCACAGTATTCTGACAAAGTAGATTAAGTTTATTTTTAAAATGATATTAAATTTTAGATAATTTTAGGCTAAGAAGCTGTTGAGCTGGGGATAGAGATGACTATTAGCTCTTTCAAATTCTGCAAGGATAAAGTCCAAGCAACTGAGGTAGCAACTTTCATTTCTAGAGGAAGATCTCTCAGAGAGGATTTGCCTGAAATAAGAGTAGGCTGAGATCCAAGTTGAACACAGTGTAAACAGATTATACATAGTCACAGAACCCACAAGTAAAAGGATATTGAGCCATGAAGCAAACAATGAAGAAATATTTGCTAATGTTAAGTGTTTGTTTCAAAGATGGAATAGATTTAGCTTATCCACTCAAGAAATTCTTATTGAGAGAGAGGAGTTTAAGTGTGAGTGTAGAAAGAGACCGAAAAAAAAAAAAGCAAAAGACACTGTTGTCAGAACAAAACGACAGCCTACAGACTGGGAAAGGATCGTCACCAACCTTATATCTGACAGAGGGCTGATATCCAGAATACATAAAGAACTAAAGAAGTTAAAAAGCAATAAATCAATTAATCTAATTAAAAAATTAGGTATAGAGCTAAACAGAGAATTTTCTGTAGAACAATATCGAATGGCAGAGAAACACTTAAAGAGATGTTCAACATCTTTAGCCATCAGAAAGATGCAAATCAAAATGACCCTGAGATTTCACCTTACACTCATCAAAATGGCTAAAATCAAAAACTCAAATGACAACAAATGCTGGAGAGGTTGTGGAGAAAGGGAACCCTCCTCCATTGCTGGTGGGGATGTAAACTGGTACAACCACTTTGGAAATCAATCTGGTGGTTTCTAAGACAATTAGGAATAGTGCTTCCTCAAGACCCAGCTAAACCACTCCTAGGCATATACCCAAAATTTGCTCAAGTACACAACAAGGACATTTGCTCAACCATGTTTGTAGCAGCTGTATTTGTAATAGCCAGAACCTGGAAACAACCCAGATGTCCATCAACGGAGGAATGGATATAGAAATTGTGGTATTTTTACACAATGGAATACTACTCAGCAATCAAAAATAAGGAAATCATGAAATTTGCAAGAAAATGGTGGGATCTAAGAGAAAACAAGGAACAGGACAGAAGCCTACCACAGAGGGCCTCTTAAAGACTCTACCTAGCAGTGCATCAAAGCAGATACTAAGACTCATAACCAAACCTTCGGCAGAGTGCAGGGAATCATATGAAAGATGGGGTGTTAGTATGACATGGAGAGGATAGGAGCTCCACAAGGACCAAATATATCTGGGCACAGGGGTCTTTTCTGAGACGGATACTCTACCAAGGACCATGTATTGATATAACCTAGAACCTCTGCTCGGATGTAGCCCGTGGTAGCTCATTAACCAAGTGTGTTTCCCTAGTAAGGGGAACGGACTATTTCTGACATGAACTCAATGGCAGGCTCTTTGACCTCCCCACCCCACCCCCCAATGGAGGAGCTATCCTGCTAGGCCACAGAGGAGGACTTTGCAGCCAGTCCTGAAGATACCTGATAAGCTAGGGTCATATGGAAGGGGAGGAGGTCCTCCTCAATCAGTGGACTTGGAAAGGGGCAGGGAAGAGATGAGGGAGGAAGGGTGGTATTGGGAGGGAATGAGGGAGTGGGATACAGCTAGGATATAGAGGTAATGAAATGTAACTAATAATAAAAAGAAAAAAGAAAAAAAGAACAGAAGTAAAGGTCATCATTCTATTTGTGAGTGCGTGTTTCTGTGTGTGTGTGTGTCTGTGTGTGTGGTGTTCACATGGGTGTTTGTATATGTGTGCCTGTGGAAGCCAGAAATTGATATTTGGTATGTTCCTTGTCATTCTCCACTCCTATCTATCTATCTATCTATCTATCTATCTATCTATCTATCTATCTATCTATCTATCTATCTATCGTGTATCTATCATCTATCTATAGTGTATCTATCATCTATCTATCAATCTATCTATCATCTGTCTATCAACCTATTTCTCTTAACTA